AAAAAGTTGAAACTGTTAAAAGTAAGATAGAAGATATCAAGTGCTGTTGGTAAATACCTGTGGGGAAGTTTTTGATCCATGCTAACTTTTTAAAGGTTGTGTGTGAGAGGTACCCCTACACCCCACTCCCACACCCCACACACACTTTAAAGGCTTTTTGTGCCTACAGTTGCAAAAACATTCGTAAAACCCCAACAAGACTTTACGTGTGTTGGCAGTATCTTGAAAGTCCACAAGATGGAGATGCTCCTCCTTTCTAGTGTTTGAATTATTATGAAAAAAATGGTCACAACCAGTGTTGTGGTGAAGCTAATCCTACTGGCCCGAGAGCCGATTAGGGATTTTGTGAACTGTTAACCACAGCCATTAATAAAATTAAATTATATAAACTTACTATAAAATATATTAAACAGATAATAAACACTCAAAACTCATCACTTCCTAATTATTTTACTATGATCTATGCTCTTGAGGTTAATTATATTTATTATACCTGTCTAGCAGAGGACTCATACCAGTGATCATGACGGTAGCACAGCACTGGGCAGTGTTCTGTTCTGTTTATACATGAGGTTGCTGTCAGTTGGGGCTGTCTTGATAGCAGCTAACAATAACATGGTGGTTTGCTACTGTACATTCTTTCTTAAACTCTTTGTTTATAATCATGTTTTACAATCATGTTGGTAGCTTGAAATTGGCCCTGGTGGGGATGTTTACACCACAAAAATCTGCAGATGCCCTGAATCTGTGCTTGGTTTGTTGTTTACTGATTGCCTAGACCTAAAGTGATGGAAAAAATGCTAATAATGCAAATTTAAAGAAGTGTGTCATGTCTTGGTCATTACATTGTGAATAGCACAAAACATTGATGAACTGTTTTTTGGAAAATAGTATTATGACAATGTGGGCCTTAATTAAGAAAAAAAAGGATGGTTGAGTTTTAAAAATCATTAATCATTGAGTATTAAAAAAAAAAAAAGTCACTGTCATTGAGTCAATTTCGAGTCATAGTGTGACCCCCTTTGGGTTTCCAAGGTAGTAAATCTTTACAGAAGTAGATTGTCCAGTCTTCCTTCCACAGAGTGGCTAGTGGCCTTGAACCTCCAACCTTCTGGTTAGCAATCAGATGCCTTAGGCACTGCACCACCAGAGCTCATCAGAGAGCATAATTATTTTAAAATACATAGTTTGAAGCTCTGGTAGAATTATAATTTTCATTTTTGGTATTTATTAATCTTATCAGTTTTATGTTATTTGCAGGTTTGATAACTACTCAGTAGTCATTGTCTGCATTCAAATGATTATTAAACTGTTGAGTTGCAAAAGGCTATGAGTGTGCAGCCATCCATTAAATAGCCCCCCACTAAATTCACTTACAGCGATCATCATACTTTTTATTGTTTGATCAGTTGTGACTCTATCTACCAGTTTTATTAGGTAGCCTGTATTTTACCATCTTACCCAGAAATTCACTGTGATATATTTTGTTAGATGCTTTGCTAAAAGAAATCAAGGTACACTGTCTATTCCATCTCCTCCAATGAAACTCACTTTACTAACTGTATTTTAAAATCATACATTTTGGAAAAATCCTCACATGGCTACACTTTAAAGTCTTGTTCTTTCCCAAGTGGAAAAATAGTCCATGAAGAATAGCATACTAGATATTAATTAAGAATTATATGAACTAAAACATATTTGGAGGTGGATTACTTCTAAACCAGCATGAAAATGTTCTTTAAATGCACCAAAAGAGAAAAGGAACAAGAGGATCACTGGGGACCCTTGATTAGGGCTGTGGGGGTTTACATAGAGGCTAAACAGCAAAGAGTCTGTGCTGTGAGAGCAGAGATTCTTCCCTGAGGAAATATTCCAGATCAGGTGACAATTTAGAGATCTGGAAGAGACTGGACAGAAGTTGTTAGCTTTTCTTCCCCTCTTTTTACTCCATCCTTTGAAATGTATGTGGTGAAATCTTAGCAATGAGAGTGCATCTGAAAATACATGGATATTTCTTTCTTTGAATTTTATTTTTATTGTGATTTGGGTGAAAATTTACAGAGCAAATACACTTCCCATACAACAGATCACATACACTTTGTCTCATGACATTGAGCACAATTTAACACAATGCAACATCTCTCCCACTTCTTCCCGATAGGTACCGCTTCCCTGTGACCATCCCTCCATGCACTCCTACCCCCTGAGCTGTCTCCCTTGCCTGAGCAGCCCTTCTTTCTCTCTTGCTTGTTCTCTCCAATGAGTGTATCTGCCTCAGATAAATGCTCAACTAGTATGCCTGTCTACTGCTTGGCTGGAAGCCACAGGTGTTCGTTCAATTCCAGACCTGAAGGGCAGCTAGGGGCCATAGTCTCAGTGGTTCCACCAGGCTCCATCGGGCCAGCAACCTGTTCCCCGCTTTTTTTTTCCCAAATGATTTTGAGTTTTGTTCCACATTGTTCCCCCTGTCTATCCAGGATCTCCTACAAACATCCTCTTCCAAGTGGCTGACAGTAGTAGCCGAGCACTGTATATTTCTTCTGGTCTCATAGTCGTATAGGCTGCAGATCGGATGGTGTACCAGTCGCTAGGACTGATTGTTTCCATGAATTTTTGGTTTTCTTCATTCTTCTTGGCCTTGGACGAGGAGAGACCCATCGTTGCATCTAGATTGCAGCTTGCAAGCTTTTAAGATCTCAGTCGCTACTCACCACAGTAGAAGGTGAAACAATGATGTGTGTAGTATGTTATGCCAATTGAGCTTGATGTCTTCTGCAAGTATGGTCCCGAGCCCACAGGTTCAACTACTTGGTCCTTCTGGGTAGCTGGCTGTGACCAAGCAGTGACTAAAACCTTGCCCCTTGTCAGCCACTTTATACACCTGGGAATTCAGATCATACACATAGAGTTATTGGACCACTGTCTGCCAACCCTATACATGTTCTTGGGTGCACTCTCCACTTCATATAGATACCTAATATGAAAATACATGGATATTTCTTTGCTATGAGTTGATTCCAATGCATGGCTGCCCTACCTGTGTCAGAGTAAAACTGTTTCCAGCATTTTCAGTGGCTGATTTTTCAGAAATAGATTGCCAGACCTTTATTTAGGGTGGCTCTGGATGGACTCAAACCTCCAACCTTTCTATTAGCAGCTGAGTGTGTTAACCGTTTGCTTCACCCAAAAACCAAAAACCAAAACCACTGCTGTGGAGTCCATTCCGACTCATACCTTTGTAGGACAGTATAGAACTGTCTTGGAATTTCCAAGGCTGTAATCTTTATGGAAGCAGACTGCCACATCTTTCTCCCAGGAGCAGCTGGTGGGTTTAAACTGCCAACCTTTTGGTTAGCAGCCGAGCATTTAATCACTGAGCCACCTGGGCTCCTTTGTTGTTGTATTGTTAGGTGCTGTCAGGTCAGTTCCAGCTCACGGAGACCCTGTGTACAACAAAACGAGAAACATTGCCTGGTCCTGCGCCATACTCACAGTCTTTGCTATGCTTGAGCCCATTATTGCAGCCACTGTTTCATTCCATCTTGTCAAGGGGCCTCCCCTTTTTTGCTGACCCTCTACTTTACCAAGTATACCTTCTCCAGGGACTGACTGGTGCCTTCTGACAACATGACCAGTGTATGTGAGACAAAGTCTGGCCATTCTCCCCTCTAGGGAGCATTGCAGGCTCTACCTCTTCCAAGACAGATTTGTTATTCCGACAGTGGTATTTTCAGTATTCTTCACCAATGTCACAATTCAAGTGCATCAATTCTTCGTTCTTACTCATTGTCCAGCTTTCACATGCTTATGACTCTTTTGAAAATACCATGGTTTGGACCAGGCACACCTTTGTCTTTAAAGTGACATCTTTACTCTTTAACACTTTAAAGAGGTTTTTTGCAGAAGATTTGCCCAGTGTAGTTCGACATCTGATTTCTTGACTGCTGCTTCCATGGGCGTTGATTGTGGATCCAAGTAAAATGATACCCCTGGCACCTTCAGTCTTTTCTTCACAAGGCTTCACAAGGGCTCCTTTAGTACTTCCTTATTGTCTTTGCCATGGACCAACTAATACTAATACTTCATAGCATTATTTTGAAGATTAAAAGAATGACTCAATTTGAAATTACCTAACATGCTTCCATTTAGTAGACAGTAGATGAAGACTTATTCAACCTGTGTTAAATTTCTTCCCCTTGTTAAATTCCTTGACCACCTGTGGTGGAGGTGGGTAAGGAATTAACTAGTGTGAGTTGTTCCATCACAATTTCCTCGGTCTCCATCTCCTCCACCCTACCCAGACCTATTTTGTTGCTGCTGGAAGTAAAGAAAAATTACAGTAGGATGTTGACTAAAGAGTACTAATAGGCTAATCTCTATTTTTCTTACTACCTTTTTCTTTCCTAAAAAAATCATATTTCAAAAGCTACAGCTTCCACAAAGTGTTCTCTAATTAGCTCTTCTCATTTTTTAGGCCTCAAGTGTAATTTTTAACTACCTTCTCCCATTCAAGTTACTCTAAAAATCATATTTATTTGTATGTGTTTGTGTTGAACAAATGTGTTTTGGTTCTGCTTGAATATACTTTTCAGTGTAAATGCTAAGCTCCTAGAATATATAGAGATGGTTGTGTTTTGTGAGTATCTGATGGTTGGCTATTACTGTTCTGGTAAGAATCTGTTTTTATTCAGTTTAAGACAAAGTTACTTTTTAAAAGAATTAGGATCTGGGAGGTAGAGGCAAAGGGTTTTTGGGGAATATGAAGAAAGAGTATTTCAATAAAATTCTTGGGCTTGTGGGTTATTTTGGAATCTGCTCTCCTTTGTTGCTTACCTGATGGCATTAGTTACTTCAGAGCAGATTTTATGTTTTTAACTTGAGACTTTCTCTAGGATGGATTAGTAGGTCCTCTACCTAGTCTTTAAAAATCTCTTGGTTCAATAAATTGTAATTAGTTTCTGGTAATTAAATCATTCTCTCTTGCAGATTGAGGAGGTGTCATGCAGCAAGAAACAGAGAGATGCAGAGTTCGAGCAAGAAGGCCTGACATGGCACTTTATGTTCCCAAAGCTCGAAGGGTTGCGGTACTCTCCAAGGCAGATGATGAGGGAAAAAGCTGGGGGCCACCTAACTCTGTGGTGAAAGAAGAACACCTTCTCTCCCAAAAGGAGATCTATAGAGACAAACCTGAAGCTCAAAGAGTAGATAATAGTTCTGATAGAAAGGAACACAGTCGTAGGGAAGGAAAGAAATCTTTGACAAAATTAAGAAAAGATACATGCCTTCTAGAAAGAAAGAAAGATAGGGTTTGTATTAAGAGGGGAACCACCAAATTCAAAGAAGTATTACCCCAAGGACGTCAGCAAAGAGTCCCAAATCCTGAGATTCTGTCTAGTGAACATTTACAAACACATTTTAAACCAGAGAAGATAGAGTGTTTGGAGGTTGAAACCACAGACGTGACAGAGCATGAGTCTTGTTCAGAAGTCAGTGAGCCTCAGATTCTGACCAAACCAATCCCAGATTTGGAACTCTGTGATTTTACTAGGCATGAACTAAATGGGGGAACACTGGAAGACAGAGATTTGGAAAGCAGAACTGAAACTGATTCCAGGGTTGAGATAGTATCCCAGTTTCCTGGAGGTTTCAGTTCTGCACTGAAACCTGAGGGCATGATTGCACCACTAAAACTGAACTCTCATTCTGGAATTGTACAAGAAGACATGCAGACATCTGGTGGAACGCTGAAGCTCAGCAATGGAGACATCACCCCTATTTCTGTCCTTGGAAGTCCAGATGGTATCATTGATCGAACTTGTGTAGGCTTTGAAGCTCAGACTGTAAGTGATACAGACAGCAGTACAGGTTTCATCTTGAGTCAGAAAAGTATAGATTCCATTCCTGAGGCTGTTGGTCACATCACTCATAAAATGCCCACAGTCAGCAAATTAGAAAGCACAAATGGCATTTTTGATCCCACAGTAATTGTTGAGGAGAATGACAACACTGCTGATGAGTTATGTGTAAAGTATGAACCTTCTGATGCAACTGTCCTTGCTCATGAAACATACACAGATAATGGACCTAATAATGTAGGTGACATTACCAATAAAGTATGTGTGATGGACATTACAGATGTCACATCTGAGCATGTAACTGTGGGCAGCCCTTGTGTAGTTGCAGTTAGAATAGTTGATGAGGCCCATAGAAACACAAGTAGTTTCTCAAAACATATAGAAATGAGTGTAGACAGAGCCCCTCTTCAGGTAGCTAGAAGTGGAAATGACACTGAAAATTTCAACAACCTGACTGCTTGCTCAGATACTTATGCTAAGAGTATTTCATCTAGTTTCACAGAGTCAACAGGAAAGTCAATAGAGAGCGTGTCAGACTGTGCTTCCTCCTTACCTACAAAGAAGATTACTGGTAGTAACAGTAACACTTTTTTGGACTCTGAACTCAGTGTGTTATTTGGGACAGAAGTACTTTCAGATAGTGCCTTGGGCAGCGATCTGGATTGTGCTGGTGACAGCACAGAAACATTGTGTGAACTAAGAACTGCTGAGAAGTTTAAAACAAAAGAGGACAGTGAACCAGAGAACATGAAATTGGGTGTATCCTTTCCTGATACGGACTCAATATCAATGGAAACATTCATGGAACCGAAAGTGACTGAAGCTTCTCATGTGGAAGGGAGTATTGATACTGAGGAGAGCTGGGAGTCTATGTTTAATGATGATGGTGACTGCTTGAATCCACATCTTTTACAAGAGGTATGTTGAGATAAAATGGCTTGAAGCTTAGGAAATTTCTAGATATGGGAAAACACGGGTTTTGGCAGTAATTTTGATAGACATTTATACACATTCACTTATATTACATCCAGTTTCAAGCCTGCAAAGAATTTAGAGGATTGTAGACTGAGAAAGAATATCTGATAGACCTTTAAAAACTAAAATATATAGACTTGAGCTATATCTATAATAGCCAAGTCCTGAGAAATCTTATTGAGTAAATTAGAGATGAATCAAATGGATTCTGGCTATCTGCTGAAATACAGAGAGAAACTTCTTCAAAGGATCTTTTCTGTGTTGACAAGATATATTTCACACAGGCCCAAGGGGGAAGGAGAGTTATTGATCATTATTATTTATTTAATTTTTTAAGAGCTGTTGGAATGTTTCTGGACACTATAGAGAGAAGGAGGTAGAAAAGGGAGAGGTAGAACAAAAGAAGGCAAAAAAAAAGGCGTGATTTTTTTTAAGGAGTTTGTGTTCTGAGTTAGATTGAAGAGTGATTGTTTATAAAATGAGAAAATATAAATAAATAATGATGTCCTGTCAGAGTTCATAAATAACAAAATTTTGGATCTTCAAGGCATCTTAAAAAGTGTTTAGTTCAGTCTTTTTGTTTTCTTAAGATAGTTACTCTCAATCCAACATTTAAATTCTTTACCATAAATAAGAGTCATTGCTTCTTAATAGTAGAACCACTCCCCGTTTTGTTCCTGATAGTTGGTTCATATAGCCCTTGTCTGGATGGGAGAAAGGGATTTCCCTTTGAGATCCTCAGTCTTATCAGTGGAGAAATGGAAGCTCAGTGGTCACAGCTTTTGGAAAGACAGAATCAGAATTTCAGTCTAGTTTTGTCTTAAGATTGACAGTTTGTTTTTTCTGCCAGACCATTTCCTCACCTACAAAACAAAGGGCTTTATTTGAATGCTTTTGAAGATTCTTCTGAATACTAAATAATGAATCTTTGGCTTCTCAGACTTAAATCAGAGGTATAGTGAAGGAACAAGTTGAGACTCAAGAGGGCAACCCACTGGACAGAACTGACTTTCCCTATACTACTGTCAAGTCAGGTAGAGTATATCTTAAAGATTCCTTAGAAATAGAGTAGAAGTTATCTGTGAGTGGGCATCCATGAGCTCTTTGAAATTACATGAATAATTTTTTGTATAAGTACATTGTTTTCATAGCTTTGATCAGATTTGGGAACCAAACAAAAGGTGTTGAGTCCCAAAGTGGTCTTTGGACCAGTATCATGAGCGTCACCTGGTAGTAAATTAGAAAAGCAAACTCTTAGGCCCAACAATCTATATTTACAAGTTTTTTGGGTGATTCTGATGCACATAAAGTTTGAGAACCGTTGCTCAAAGATAAATGTGTTACAGTGTGAGTGAAGGAACTGTACAGATGGATGTCAACCAATAATTAGGAAAATATTGTTCAGTGGAGGTTTGAGAATTTGAGAACCAAGATTAAGAAATACAAATAATGGGGGGAAATTGGGTGACTATAGAGAAGTTATTAGAGATCAGAGCTGTGGGAGAAGGCCTTAGTCTAAGAAAGAAAGCAGTGTTCACAGGAATTAGCAAAAGGACTACCTGAGGGATAGAGAGCACAGGCATGTATAGTAGAAAAAGGACTCTTTTCTGTTTCCCACAAAATGACATAGCACACAGAGCCTTTTACATATGTGCTCACTCAAACTCACGGCCGTCGAGTCGGTTCCGACTCATAGCGACCCCTCCTTGGGTTTCCGAGGCAGTATCTCTATTGAAGTAGATTGCCCCATCTTCGTTCTGAGGAATGGCACATGTAGTGCTCAATAAATATTTGTTGAATGGATATGGGTGACAGGGCAGAGTTGGCGCTTCCTCCCATTTTAGGATGGCCTCCAGGGGTTTTCATAACATCATTGCTGCTGGAACTTGGATTCTGTGGGATACCTTAGCGATATGGCTTCTGTGTGGGTTAGGAGGGAGGTTCAGGTGTGCACTTATTTCCGTCTTAGCACTGTTTAGAATAGGCACAGAAGAATTTAGGCAACCACTCAGTATTTTGAGGAACATAGTAATGTAGCTAAAGAGGAAGCTGGCGTGACCTAAATTTGGCAATGGCATTAAGTTACGAGGAGTATGTAGTGTTCAGAGCTAAAGGCAGCCAGAGCCTGGATGTTGTATTTGGATTCTCTTTGGAGATACCTGGGGAAGGACTGGAGTCTTTGTTGAGGGATAAAGATGGATGAGAGCAAGACGTACATGGATTGAGAACAGCATGTAGTGGATCCACCTCCAGACCAGGATGGGCTCTTCTGCTTTGGGTTTTAGAAGATGTAATAATGTTGTTAAAAGATGTCACAAATCCAATAACATTAATGGCCCTTTGGTGACTGTTACTCTTAATTTATTATTTATATTGCTCTAAGCATAATTTATTAAATGCTAAACCAGAGTGCCTGGCTACCTTGGAAACTTTCCAACCTAGATTTTTTACTATTTTCCCAGTTGGCCTGTTTCTTTGTTGATAGTGGCTAGTCCTGAAGATAGATTTCACAGCTAGTAGGCTGATAGGTATGCCATAGAGCAGGGTGTGACAGTCATGGGCATATGAAGCAATTTCCTATGACATTTAAACCTCTAAAACTGCCTGAGGCTGGTAGAGACCATTAGTTAGTCATTATTGTGCTCCCAGAACTGCAAGTCTGGATGAGTCTCCAAAGATCACACTCAAATTTTTAAAGCCATGGTATGGGATGCCCAGAAATTTATGTTGGTAATTGATAAAAGGGGATGTTGGCATGAGTTCTTTTAGCCCTCTGAGATCATGGAACAAGAACATAATAATTACTGTTGTCTTGATAAAAGCCCCTGCTGCCTCCTGTACAGATGAGCATCCATATTGGTAGGAGCGTTAGTGGGGTACCAGCATTAAAACAATGATGTCGATAGATGCTAGCATCTGACCGCTTCATTGGCTATTTCTGTCCTTGATTTGTTTTTTCAGGTAGGAGTACATATGTACGTAAGAGTTTTCTGTATTTTAAGAATCTAAAAACCTTCCATTTAGAAAGTCCTTTTGTTACATGCTAACAACCGTGGAAAAGAGAAGAGCTAAGGGACACCACCTGTTCTCGCCCCTCTTCCTTCCCGGTGCGCTGACTCATTCACATACACTCTGTCTCCTTATAGTGTTTTGTAAGAATTCTATTCATGTTTAAGTGGGAAACACAAAATCAAAAGGGAAAATTTATAATCCAGCTACTAAAAGCAAATTTTATGAAATCTAAAGGGAGGAAAGTCCTTTATATCCCATTCCTTACAGGCATAGTCAACACTTGGTACTCCAACACTTTTCAGTTAAATAGCAAATGTTGAACACATAGCATTTGATAAACAATAAATAGTAAATAGTTAGATACAAGTTAGTTATTATCACTGCTCTGTTAAAAGTACTATGTATGCTACATGCCTGTTTTCTTCTTTGGTCCAAAATTGCTTGCATTGTAGTTAGAGAGACAAGATGTAAATATGTGATTAGATAGTTGAAGATAACAATATCAAAGGTAAATAGTGTAAAACAAACTACCAAACAGCCATATACAAGATGCCCTAAGGCTTGATTGTTGATGGGTGATACAGACAATGGCTTTGAAAAAGATTAAATCACTGAGGGCTAAACTGGTTGATACTGTTGCATGTGAGACCCTAGAAATTAAACTGCCACTCTATTGTTTGTTGTTCCTAAACACTTAACTTTACTATTTTTTAAAAAATAATAGCAATCTCTATTTTTATATTTTATTAATTCCAGATCATCTTAACAGATTTACAATTCATATTTTTGTAAAAATGTCTGACTTAATGTGTTACTGACTACCTAAGGGGAGATTTATAGACTCACCTTCCAGCTGCTATATATTCTAATGTACTCAGTCACTTGGGACAGCCAGTAAAGAATTTGATTGAATTATATACACTGTTTATCGTCCAGCACATTAGTGGATAATGATTAGATGTCTCTGGTTCACCCAGAAAAAGGGAACTTTAAGTAGATTTCTAAGATTAACATTGCTCATAGTTATTTTTTTTTTTTTAACTAGGTGACTCCTAAGACTGAAAATCCCCCTTCTGTGATCCATTAGATTTGGTGCTGTATTACCCCTCTGAATCAGTATTCACGCTAGCAACATTTTAATTTCTGATCCCTTTTCAACTAAGGAAGTGTAAACTGTCTAGGACTGTATTGTCACTACAAAGGAATCTTTTTTTTAAGGACCCTTGTCTGAAGCAGATATTCCTGATGGGCCTTGTTTAGTTGCACATGCAAGGTATAGTTGAACAGATGAGGTGGGGGTGGTGCTATGATTTGTAATGTTTATTCCATTTAATTAATTCCCTGTTTAATGACAATAGCAGGGAGGGGAGAGTCTAGGGTAACAAACAGAAATAGGTGCATTCTCCACCCCTGACCAGGAAAAGACAGACAACTAGTACATCCCAAAATTATAGATTTGTTTGGGTTAAAAATTTTGGTTAAAACTGCAAACACACCTTTGGGAGAACTAAGTCCCATCCACACTTGATTTGAATTAATTTCATCACTTGTATCAAAAATATGTATAGGCATGCCAGGAATTCTGTTGCTGGGCTTTTGGGGTAGTGTGTGTGTGTGTGTGTGTGTGTGTGTGTTGGGGGGATGTGAACTAGCTTTAGCCTGTCTGCTGAAATGAACAGTCCACAGTCTAAATATATTTCAGTTCAGCTTCTTTTTGTTGTGATGAATTTGGGATTGGTGGGTAGAGAGGTGTAGGTTTGCAGTATGGCCTAGGTTTGAGACAGAATTAATTTAATTGCTGATCAATAATCTTATACAGAAGATCTTTTGTGTAGATCCAAAGACTGAGATTGCTAAGGAAAAGCCAAGGGAATACCCAGACATACTGGATACCAGGCTTAAAGACCAAGACTAAATTTTTGATCCTTCAAATGATATGTCATCCTATTATATTGCCTGCCTGGATCAAGATTGGCTCATTTCCATAAGCCAGTGGATCTGACTGCGGTTGGAAGGTCAGACGTATGTATTGCCTGTTATTGAAGGGGACAGATAGGCAAGGATTGTGTTGTTGTTGTTATGTGCCGTCGAGTTGGCCCTGACCCATAGCGACCCCTCCTTGGGTTTCCAAGGCAGTATCACTTCGGAGGTAGGATTGCCCAACCTTCATTCCGAGGAGTGGCTGGTGGGTTTGAACTGCCATCCTTCTGGTTAGCAGTCAAGTGCTTTAGGCACTATGCTACCAGGCAAGGATTAATACTCTCTAATGTAATGAACAAGGAGAAATTTTCAGGTCTGGGTATGGTACACGATTTTAAGTAGCTAAAAAGGGGCCCTAGGTGGTGCCAATGGTTAAGCACTTGACTGCTAACCAAAAGGTTGGTGGCTTGAACCCGCCCAGTGGCTTCGCAGGAGAAAGACCTGACCGTCTGCTTCCATAAAGATTGTAGCCAAGAAAACCCTGTGGGGCAGTTCCACTCTGTCACAGGAGGTAACCATGAGTTGAACATCTCGAGGGCACTCAACAGCAGCAGCAAAGGTAGTATAAAGAAAAGGTGCATCAGGGACTGGACAAATCAAGAAACGGAATGGCAATAAATGTCACATTTATCTGCTTTGCAGTTTTTCTCAGATCTCATGGATAGCCGTTGCCACTGACTATCATAGCAGTACCAGAGTATCAGGATTAGTTTGGGAAGATTCAAACCTCTGGCACTCCCCTGCTTGATTTAGTTTTACCATTCCAAGCTTATCTTGTCGTACCATTCTACTGGATCAATGGTATCTCTCCATGCTTCTTCAATCATGCTTAAAAAAAAGAAAAACCAAACCCAATGCCATTGAGTCAACTCCAACTCATAGCGACCCCTACTGAGTTTCCAAGGCAGTAAATCTTTATGGGAGTAAATTGCACCATCTTCTTTCCATGAAACAACTGGTGGATTTGAACCACCAACTTTCTGGCTGGCACTTAAATGCCTTAAGCACTGTGCCACCAGAGCTCCTTCCATTCGTGCTAGAAGGAGGAAATATGGGCATGTCTTGCTGCCTTCTCCTTCCTCTTGATTGTTAATTTAATCTACAACAGTAGATCTTTTAGCATCTTCCCCAAAATGCCAAGGTCTGTCTGCCATATTAACCTTTCTATACTGTTTGAATAGGAGCCAGATTGTGTCAGTTCAGGAGATTCACTTGGTCTCTGCATGTATTTATGTATTGTACATTGCCATTCACGGGAGAGGACTGTTGTTATTATTAGGTGCCATCAGATTGGTTCTGACTCATAGGGACCCTATGAGTCCAGCAGAATGAAACACTGCTCA